ATGTGAAATGCTACTGATCTGTGCAAGCATCGCACACTGACCTGGGAACAACACTGTTCATTTCCTGACTCGTTCAATCACTTGTTTTGTTGTGTGCATTAAATGTACTAATGCATATTGATAATATGCATCGGAAATGAAAATATATGGTTCAATTAATTTAAATATGCAATGAACCATAGGAATAAAGACTGTAGTGAAAGTCTTACAAACATTTTCATACACCTATGACCTTATCCCAATATAGGTATAGACCACAAATTGTGTTAGTAGTCCACAACAAATAGCACAACAGCACAATTAACTGGCCAGGACTAGTTTTGGCATCATTTAAATGTTTCTTTTAAATCTACTGCTCACACTTCTATTTCAAAATATGTAGCTGCTTAAATCAGTGGTTTATTCTGGCACTGCTGTAGCACAGATGATGTAAGTGGTATATCAGCCAAGAACCACAGTCCCTAATGCTGTGATTTAATTATTTGTAGGTAAACAGTGATATATCTTAGATTCTGTGGCTTTCTGTCATCTATGGGTGAGCTGTGTTGTCACAGGGTGTTTAGGGGAGAGCACTTCTGTGTATCATGTTGATTAGGAGCACAGCATTTTTGGGTTTAGCACTTTGGGTTTATCTGTGAATATTCGAACGTGATGTAATCGCACAGTTTTATTTCACGTAAAGTTTTTTTCCGTTCGTTGCTACGTTGTTTTGTTTACATTTGTGTAAAAAAAACGCCCATCTAACGGGATAACTTGCTCTGCCTGGCTTACTCCTGAACTTCACCACTGGATTACGTGACACTTTCAGCTGATCATCATTCCGATTTCACATTTTACAATGATATTATAGTTACCTATACTTTTATTAGAAAATTGGCAATAGATTTAAAAAAACATGTTTAAACTCTTTTATTTTGGGGTATTCTGTTGAGATTTTGTGGTGATTAATGGCATTCTAAATTCTGTCTGTAACACAACAAAATGTGTGCAACTAGAAGTGGTCTAAATACATTTTAAAAGGCACTGTACAAGAAATTGAAGAAGAAATAAACTGGATATTCCAAATATGAGAGGAGAAATCGCTAGATTTATATTTCACCACTCAGCGAATATTAAATGTTGTAAAAATGTAGCATGTTTGGCACTTCACTGAGCCATAGATGAAACCTTGTTGTTTTTCCAAAACATCAGCATTTAATTAAGCCAAAATGAGGCATTAAAAATCTGCTTTTGATGAAAATAGGGTCTTCCTACTGGGCCTCAGAATCCCTCAATATAATCAATAGTGAATCTAGGTCTCAAGGATGTTCAAGTGGACCTATGAGATTCTAGAACCAATAAACCATTTGGCAGCGGCGCTGTGTGCCCTGTGCCGATCAACACTTGGATATTTTAGCACTTAGCGTTTTTTACACCGTGGACTGATGGCATTTTTAAGGGATGTTGACAGATTAGAAAGAGATTTATCCAGACTGACATCAGACATGATAACTGTGCTAACTCCTTTATGAGTGTGAATGTACATTTTCTCGATCTATTGATTGTAACCTGCAGTAAACAAATCCAAACGCACTAGTGACAGTTCCATGACATCAACGGGAGGAAGTTAACGGCTTGTTTGAAGAAGTAGTAATACGGGTCAATAAACTTGTCTACAATATTAGAATCCATTATGTCATTTCTGCATTCCTTCTCTATTCAACCCCAGGCAAAAATGTGTGCTATACATGTGTAAGAAACATACAAGCCCAATTCCGAAATGTTGGGACAAAATGGAACATTCTAATAAAACAAAGAGGAGTTACTTGTAAATCTTCTATGACTTGTGTTAAATATTATTTTATTTTTAAATGGTACTTAATGTTTTACCTATTCAACTGCATAGTTTTTTGAAGAAAACCGTTAATTTTGAAATTGATGCATGTAACACGTTAAAAAAGTTGGGTCAGTTACCATTTAGGACTAATAACGATGTGACAAGTTGAAATAAGAAGGTGATGTGAAACAGGTGGGGCCATTGTGTAATCCTAGTAAATAAGGAGTCTTTTGCTGCGTTATTGCCTTATTCTAAATTAGATTAAATAGATATTTTCTCTCATCAATCTACCCAAAATATCTCATAAAGTCACAGCTCTAATACCATCATCAAGTTTGCAGGTGACACCACAGTAGTTGGTCTGATCAGGGACAATGACGAGGCAGAGAAATGACAGGAGATCAAGCACCTAGTGGCTTAGTGCGCAGATAACAACCTCGACATCAATGCCAAGAACCAAAGCACTGATTGTGGATCACAGGAAGACCAAAAGCTGTATACACGCTGCAATTCTCATTGATGAATCCACAGTGGAACGTGTGGCCAGTTACAAATTCCTGGGTGTCCACATCTCCAACAACCTATCCTGGTCCCTCAACACCACAACCCTGGTCAAACATGACCTAAAGAGGGCCCTCCTATCTACCAACATGCTGGTAAACGTTTACAGCTACATGGTAAAGAGCATTATGAGAAACTGTGCCACAGCACTACGACATTGAAGACATCCAGCACAAGCACTGTTTGCGTAGAGCGTGTGGGGATAATCAGGGATCCCGCACACCTGAGCCACAAACGGTTCGGAAAGTGGTACAGATCTCTACACACCCACACCAGCTGGCTCAGGAAAAGTTTCTTCCCAAATGCTGTGAACATGCTGAACACTGAAACCCTTGCGCACACTCTGCTACCTTGTATATTTTATCTGCCATTTTCTACAATGCGTACTGTTGTTCCATCATTGCTACATCTTGCCCTACACACTGATAGCCTATTTTTTATATTTGCCATTTGCACAATGCTTACTGTTTGTACTATCCATTTACCACTTGCACAGACGTTTTCGCTTGAATTGCCCATATGCACGTTTGCAATTTGCTACATTGTTGAACTGAACACCTGCACATTTACTTACCCATTTCATTTGCACGTCCTTACACTGTACTCCATCTCATTTGACTCATACAACGACTCATTGACACATTGCCCTGTATATCATTTTTGCACTGATGTTTTGCAATTCTGGTTGGATGCAAACTGCACTTTGTTGTACTGTGCTTGTACTGTTTAAATTACAAAAGAGTTAAATCGAATCTAATTTATATTTTGGCTTTTTTGCCAACTGGAATAAATGGGGAAATTGTGGATGGGGAAATTCTATGAAGGAACTGGTATTTAAGGTGTCAGTTGGAAAAAACGAACAAAGCAGAAGTTTCCACCGGTAGAAAGAAATATATAGTACTCTAGTGAAGAGTAGGACCTCACACTTTCACTAACAGTCCAAGTCAGTAACTCTGCTCAGATCATCACTAACCACAGAAGAGATGGCCCAGATGAGAGCTCCTGTGATTGCACTGCTGGTGATCCTGGCTGTGGGGCTGTTTGCCAATTCTGAAGCTCAACAAGGTAAATATGAAGCCATATTAGTATATGTTTATAATTTCTCTGTTTTAATAAGAGCAGCGCTGTTTTCAATATGTTTCTGTCTGAGCTGTTAATAGAGTAAATGAGTATGATAACTAACACATAGCAGGATATTTCACCAGGTCAGGTGTTTGAGAAACATGACCAACATGACATCTTTCATTTAATTGTTTTCTGTTGTTTATGTTTCATAGGTTGTTGTATGAGTTACTCCTCTGGTAGGAGAATCGTAATTAATAGAATTCGAGGATATTCAATACAGACAATGAAGCAACGATGCAACATCAATGCCATTATGTGAGTACTGTTCTATATTGCTAAAATCAGGGGAATTCAATACATATTGAAGCTTATGATACAAATAGTGAGAGTAAAATGTATTCCTTTGTAATATAATAACATAATGCTTTCTTTTCCAGTTTCCACTTAGTCAACGGAGGAAATGTGTGTGTGAATCCTTCCCAGGGTTGGGTTATGGAGTATATTCGTAATCTGAGGTAGGACACATTTTAATTCAACTATGAAATTATTCTGATAATTAATGTTATTTTTTTATTGGGAATAAAAGAAACGCCATGCTCCACCAAATGAGCTACACAAATGGAATAATTTTGACGCATGGTAGTGTGTCTAACATCACAATGTAATTCACTTATTTATTATGTTGATATAGATAATATAACTCAATATTGGTTTCTGTTTCTGCAGGGAGAAAGCCATACAGTTGAACAAAATAAAATCACCTGCAAATTAGTCATCCCAAAATAATCTGGAAAAGATTGTTTAAGTTTCATTCTTCAAAGGAGGAGGAACACATACATCCTTAATCTCTAATGTTTCTGTGGTATTTGTTCTAATATATCATGGATTTCAGCAGTCAGGATTCAAACCACTTGTTTTATAATGTCTTTTATCCTGAACATTTCTATACTGAAAACCACAACGCATGTATTCCTATTTTTGGAATTAAATAATCTTTTTCATTGAGTATAGCCAATGATCTATTTTCTAAGCATTAGAAAAAGCATATTCTGTATTAAAACTTTATTTTTAAAGTTCTTATTATAAGATGATTTATCACATTTGTTTAGGTTTTTACTGTTACTAGTACTTGGTTGTGAACATGTTACATCTCTAATAAAGTTTTTATAATGAATTCTCAATTGTTTGGTGTGACAAAGATGAAAGCACAATGACAGATAATGTCTGATATATTAAGACATCGTATTGTGCCGTACTGTACAAGTTCAGTTTATCAAGTTTCCTACACCATCAGAGATCCATAGAAGTAGGATTACTGCTCCTTCTATGGTTTTTACATGAACATCTGCAGACCATTGCTGTGATAAACTGATCTCAGAGAATACCTTCTGAATATATACATATATTTGTGACCACCAAATTCATATGATGAATGATGTTAAGTTACGGTTTAGTCTGGCGTTACCAGGAATGGTGAGCATATTACAGTTAAATAGAGGGGCTGTTAGTTAACCAGGTAGGCGGATTGAGAACAAATTCTCATTTGCAACAGCAACCTGGGGAGAAGCTCGGAGTTGAACACAGGACATCATAAACACAAAGCATGCACTCTACCTCTGAGCTACCAACTACCAACGAGACTGGACAATAAGTGAAGGAAGGAGGGAATGATGGCAGCTAGTAGACCAGAAAAGACGAAGGTGGCGGTAGACCGGCTTCGAAGGGAGCTCAGACACAGGGACCTTAATTAGCCCACTTATTAACAAACCTATGCCTGGTGCTTAGCTAAACCCACAACTGCTGTGCTCCTAATCAACATAAACACAGAAGTGCTCTCCCCTGTGACAACACAGCTCACCCATAAGTGACAGAAAGTCACATAATCTAAGATATATCACTGTTGTGATAACGCACTCTGGTACAGCTCCACTGCCCTCTGGGGGCAGGTTTCGGCGTTCGTTGTCACCAACGTATTAGCGGCTGCCGACCCCTTATTAGTCACATTGTCTAGTCCTGTCTAGTCCACACACCTGGTGTTAATTCCCTATTAGTCTCCTATATAGGCTTCCTGTGTTTGGTCATGTCCTTGTGTGGTATTGTTTCGTGTTTCGTGTATTGTGATCTATTACAAAGCATTAGATGTCTGTTGGACATATTGAGCCCTAGCTTTTGGGCATCTTACATTTAAGCGCTGTGATGCTCTTTTTGTTATTTTTTTCGGGTACGAGTGTGTACGTTTACTTTGTGTTGTGTTCTGTGGAAGACATAATATTAAATCACAATCAACGCTACGGACCTGTGCCTGGCTCCTTCTCTCTCACACACACCTCGCCCTGATTGTGGTTATATGTGTATGCAAATGTTCGTAATACTTTATCCCTATGGTTCATTGCAGATTTAAATAAATTGAACCATATATTTTCATTTCCGATGCATATTATCAATATGCATTAGTAAATTTAATGCACACAACAAAACAAGTGATTGAACGAGTCACGAAATGAACAGTGTTGTTCCCAGGTCAGTGTGCGCTGCTTGCACAGATCAGTAGCATTTCACATCCTCTACCACAACACCTTAACTAACAGCCCCTCTATTTAACTGTAATATGCTCACCATTCCTGGTAACGCCAGGCTAAACTGTAACTTAACATCATTCATCATATGAATTTGGTGGTCACAAATATATGTATATATTCAGAAGGTATTCTCTGAGATCAGTTTATCACACCAATGGTCTGCAGATGTTCATGTAAAAACCATAGAAGGAGCAGTAATCCTACTTCTATGGATCTCTGATGGTGTAGGAAACTTGATAAACTGAACTTGTACAGTACGGCACAATACGATGTCTTAATATATCAGATATTATCTGTCATTGTGCTTTCATCTTCGTCACACCAAACAAGACAAACGCACAAACAATTGGGAATTCATTATGAAAATTGTATTTGAGATATAAAATGTTCACAACCAAGTAAAAACCTAAACAAATGTGATAAATCATCTTAAAATAAGAACTTTAAAAATAAAGTTTTCATACAGAATATGCTTTTTCCAAAAATAGGAATACATGCATTGTGGTTTTCAGTATAAAAATGTTCAGGATAGAAGACATTATAAAACAAGTAGTTTGAATCCTGACTGCTGAAATCCAGGGTATATTAGAACAAATACCACAGAAACATTAGAGATTAAAGATGTATGTGTTTCCTCCTCCTTTGAAGAATGAAACTTAAACAATCTTTTGCAGATTATTTTGGGATGACTAATTTGCTGCTGATTTTCTTGTGTTCAACTGTATGGCTTTCTCCCTGCAGAAACAGAAACGTTGAGTTATATTATCTATATCAACATAATAAATAAGTGAATTACATTGTGATGTTACACACACTACAGTAAGTCAAAAATATTCCAGATTTGAAAAATAACGTTAATTATCAGAATCATTTCATAGTTGAAATAAAATGTGTCCTACCTCAGATTACGAATATTCTCCATAACCCAGCCCTGGGAAGGATCCACACACACATTTCTACCGTTGACTAAGTGGAAACTGGAAAAGAAAGCATTATGTTATTATATTACAAAGGAATACATTTAACTCTCACTATTTGTATCATAAGCTTCAATATGTATTGAATTCCCCTGATTTTAGCAATATAGAACAGTACTCACATAATGGCATTGATGTTGCATCGTTGCTTCATTGTCTGTATTGAATATCCTCGAATTCTATTAATTACGATTCTCCTACCAGAGGAGTAACTCATACAACAACCTATGAAACATAAACAACAGAAAACAATTAAATGAAAGATGTCATGTTGGTCATGTTTCTCAAACACCTGACCTGGTGAAATATCCTGCTATGTGTTAGTTATCATACTCATTTACTCTATTAACAGCTCAGACAGAAACATATTGAAAACAGCGCTGCTCTTATTAAAACAGAGAAATTATAAACATATACTAATATGGCTTCATATTTACCTTGTTGAGCTTCAGAATTGGCAAACAGACCCACAGCCAGGATCACCAGCAGCGCAATCACAGGAGCTCTCATCTGGGCCATCTCTTCTGTGGTTAGTGATGATCTGAGCCGAGTTACTGACTTGGACTGTTAGTGAAAGTGTGAGGTCCTACTCTTCACTAGAGTACTATATATTTCATTCTACCGGTGGAAACTTCTGCTTTGTTCGTTTGTTCCAACCGACACCTTAAATACCAGTTTCATCATAGAATTTCCCCATCCACAATTTCCCCAAAACGATGTCACGATAGTCTTTAGTAATAGTAAGAACACATATAATTAAGTGTATAGATTAAATAGTAAAAATGATTTATTTTTATTTTTTAATACAAATATATTTATTAAAAATATGCTGGTCTTTTTAATAACTGTGAATATTTCAGAGCCCTTTACCTTTTTCCACATTTTCTTACTTTCTTTATTGTTAAGTCGCGATGTGTAAGCGTGCGCTTGTTTTGCGTTTTATGTACATGTTCCGTGTTTTGTGTCGATGTTTCGTATTTGTTTTCTATTGTGATTTAAAATAAACACCACAAACAGATATACGCTGGCTCTGCATCTCGCTCCCTCTACACATCACCTTGCAAGTCGTGACAGAATATCAATCCCAAGAAATGAGCGAGCAGAGCCTGATGGTGGGAGGTTTCCTCTGAGATTATTTCTACAACTCTGGGAAGAATTTCTCCCGTCTAAGGTCCACGGAGCAGTGGGACTGGTTTAAGCCGGAGTCTCCTGAAGAGGAGTACAGGCGTCTCCGTGCTTATTTTGGCTAGGAATCACTTATGCGGCAATCTGGGCCAGGTAAGCCTGGAGGCGTGGCCTCTTACCCATCCCCCCCCTGCGTGCTTGGTGGAGTGGCCTCTTCCTCCCCTGGCATGCCTGCAGGCGTGACCTCTGCGTGCCTGGACGAGTGGCCCCTCCCCCATATGCCGGTCTCTCCTCTGCTGACCTCCCCTATGCTGGACAGATTGGGTTCGAACTAAAAAAAGCCTTCATGTTGGAGAACATTGCAGGAGAGACCCCCTGCAGAACCACCTCCTTGGGGGTTTCCCTCCGTCCCTACCTGGACATTTTTGGGGTTAGGCCTGGTCGATCTGAGAGCCCGACCTTTTCGAGGGAGTACTGTCACATATGGGTGAACTGTGTTGTACACAGGGTGTTAAGGGAGAGCACATGTTTATTGTGTTAACTAGCACCACAGCTGTTTTGAGTTTAGTTAATCAGTGGGCTATTTAAAGTCAATTTAAGGTCAATCGGATAAACCTTCTATGTTCATATTTATCTCGGGTGTAGTTCATTCTGACGGTCACTGTATATATCGCTAAATAGTCATATTACAATCAAATAAGACTTTTCAAACTCTGTCAGAAAAAGGCCATTATCATTGTTGAAACCATTAGAATGCAATGTCAACCTTATTCTCAAAAGAGATTGTATTGTTGGGAAAATCAGAACTGAGATGATAGAACGTAAATATACTGATTCACAAATTTACTCTGATGTGCATATGCCAACCATTTGCCCACATCAGTGAAACCACCATAGATAACATCAACATAGACTATACTGTATATCGTCAGGTGTATCAGTTGATCTATGTGTTGGCACAACCTATTGTGTACCAGGCTGTGACATAATACAGTTTTGTTATCAGTAGAACCATGTGTGTTAGTGGAAGATTAGTAAATATGTCATAATTGTGACTCTTGCACATCCACCTATATACATATGCATATTTAATACATTCATGTTTTGCAACTGTGAGAATAGTGTGGGAGGCGGTGGTTGCAGAGGACTTAGAGAAATCTGGGTCATAGGATGTCAGAATGAGTAAACCGACAATAACTGTGCAGAAAAAAGAGAAACTGAAAAATACTATGAATGTTGTAATTCCCTTAAAGCACTCGCCGACACAAATGGCTTTCTGCAAACGGGTTTATTGGAATATTGCTCCTCTTATCCACCGTGAAAACTAAACAGAAACACATATAGCAATCAGAAAACACAATTAGCTTAATATGAACTTAAATAAGTCTAAACATATACCGGTGTTACGTTTTAACTGGTGATTATGTTAACTGGTGACATTCCAGATGCCACGTGGGCGTGTCATTAGAAACACTGGCTGGGAAGTAGACCGAATCGATGCCTGTTTAAAATAATGCAAACGTCAATAAATCGTTCAAATGTTCCTAATTTAAATCTTTTTTGTGTCATAATCTTGTTTAATGTGTTTGTAATTATGTACATTCTGCCTAACAGTCTGAGGTGTTTGTTTACGCCGCAGCACGAACGTATAGGGACCGCTACTATCATAAGAGAGTGTAGTGCGCCCAGGTTAACTTGTGATTCAACATCTGTACAGGTACATAGGTAGGCTGTGCACATATAGACCGCTAGTATAACAGAGTGTAGTGCGCCCAGGTTGATACAACATATGCACAAGGGCATATATAGGCTCATATCGTATCATTCAGACCTACTAAAATATAATATTGTACATGGTAACACACCAGCTGTGGTGTAAAGAACAACACCAACATTTCCACACGTCAACATAATGCATGAATTCAAGTTCAATATGCGATGCAAGCACTAGT